AAAACAAAAAAAAAAAAAAAAAAAAAAATGTTGGGGGTTGTAGTTCAGGGGTAGAGGGCTTGTTTGACAAGTACCAAGCCTTTGTTGAATCCTCTGTACCAGAAAAGAAATAACCAGGAAATAAAGACAGACTGTGTGGACACTGGTGGCGCCCCAGAGGCGCTGTTCCAGCTCTGTCTCTCCTCTTGAACCTGGGAGGTTTCTCAGATGCCCCCAGGAGCCATAGGACCCTGTAGGGAGAGCCGGTGTCTGGAAATGAAGGGGGCCCCTGAGGACACAGTGAAGAGCGGCAGAGGTGTTCTGACCTCTGCCCAGGAAGCACAGGAACCCGTCAGTGGTCCCGGGGAGGAAAGGGTTTCTGAGGAAGCTACAGAGCTGGAGGAAAGAGGAAGACAGGGCGATTGGTCTTGCACCCTGTGGCCAGGGAGGCTGCCAAGAGCCGAGTGTAGCCCTGGGATCCTGGGAAATGGTCCCAGTCGATGTAGGTGGGGAGCACTAGCTGAGGGGCCTAGAGAGAGCCGTTGGGAGTCTGTGGTGGGGTGGTTCACGCTCAGGCTAGAGGCAGGGTGTGGTGTGGCTTCTCACAAAGCACAGGCAGAGTTAGCCAGGAGTTAGCTAAGAATGGCCTGGAGTGAGGCCCGGGATGGCGGTACACCTGCAGTTCCAACACTCGGGAAGACGATGGAGAGTCTGAAGCCAGGCTGGCCTTTAAAAGTGCTGGAAAGAGACAGGAAGGAGTCAGGTGGCAATGGCAAGGAGGAGGAGGGACCCGGAAAGGAAAAGCTAGATGGAAGGTGGACATTGGGAGGAAACAGACTCCAGACCCATGCCTCTGGGCAGGACAAAGGTAGCTAGCTGCACAGCTCAAGGTCCAGACGCTTAACCGGGTGACATCATTAAGCCCTCAGGCAGCATTTGACCTCTCCCCGGGACAGTGCTGTCTGGTCAGTTGCTGTCTGATCAGCAGTGTCGCCTGTGGGGATGGCGGATGACCAATCTTCCTGGTCCTCACCCTGTGTTCCCACCATGCCCGTCTCTCTCGGGTTGTGGTCAGACAGCTCTGGGGCCAAGGTCTAGATGGAGCCAGTCATCCTAGGCCACCTGGGGTGTGTCCTTGGTGGGTGGTGAGCAGCCTATGGGGCAGGTAGGTAGTAGACAGGTCACCCAAGGGTGGGACCAGCCAGACCACCCCCCTCCCCATCCCGCTTCTGATAACGGGGACTCTGAGCCATTTGCTTTACAGCTGGAGAAACTGGGGTTGGTCATTCAGGAAGGTGACGTGCATAATCAAAGTTACTTTGAAACTTGGGAGTTACATGTAGTCACATGAGGCCTTGTAAGACAAGAGTTTGCGGTTACTTCAGGTCTGGCCAGGACCTGAAGCTTCAGGTAGCTGTGGGTAACAGCAGGTTCCAGCACAGGCAAGCCTAGAGGCCTCGGGTTCTGTTAAGGATTACTGGTGCTAGGCTTGGAGGCTATAATCGCAACACAAGGCAAGTAGAGGCAGGAGGATTAAGAGTTCAAGGCTATCCTGGTTACATGATACTTATCTTAAAACAAACAAGCAAACAGGGTCACTTCAGGATGGAGGGCAGGCTCAGTGGCTTGGTGTTTTCTGTTCATCCAGAGGACCTGGCATCAGGCTGCAAACAGTCTCCACCCAGCAACTACAGCACCAGGGCATCTGACCCACCTGCTCAAAGTACATTTTAAAAGGAGGGCCAGGGAGTTAGTCTGGCAGGGTGGTGGTGCACACTTTAATCCCGGTGCACAGGAGGCAGACATGGGTAGATGGGTTTCTGTGGGTTCAAGGCCAGCCAGGACTATGTAAACCTGTCCATAAAGAGGAGGAGGGTGCCACTCCTTATGTGTGGAAGATATTGCCAAGGAGCATCTGGAACCAGAATGATTGGGTACAATGAATGGTTAAGACGGAAGTGCTGAGCGTGCTCAAGGGGTGGGTCAGTGGAAGAAACAGAACTGTCACCTACGGAGAAAGGGACAGACGGCCCCATATGAGCACAGGGGTAGACCTGCATTAGAAATCAAAGGGAGTAGGGTGCTGATGAGATGGCTCAGTGGTTAACATTTGCCGCGCCCGGTGATGGCACACGCCTTTAATCACAGCACTCGGGAGGCAGAGGCAGGCGGATCTCTGAGTTTGAGGCCAGCCTGGTCTACAGAGCTAGTTCCAGGACAGCCTCCAAAGCCACAGAGAAACCGTCTCAAAACACCAATAATAATATTTTAAAAAAACATTTGCTGCTTTAAGTTCCAGGAGATCCAAGGCCCCCCTTTTGGCTCCCATGAGCACCAAGTACTCAAGGGGTGTGTGCACATACATGAATGTTTTATTCATTCACACACACACACACACACACACACACACACACACACACAGATATCTTACTCATACACATCTTCAGTTTTTTAAAGATTTTATTATGTATCCAACATTCTGCTTCCATGTCTATCTGCACACCAGAAGAGGGCACCAGATCTCATAACGGATGGCTGTGAGCCACCATGTGGTTGCTGGGAATTGAACTCAGGACCTCTGGAAGAGCAGCCAGTGCTCTTATCCTCTGAGCCACCTCTCCAGCCCCCACATCTTCAATTTTTTTTCTTAATCAGAGGGTGCTGCTGTGCCAGGCTCTGGGGCTGCTGAAGGATAGAAATGTCTCTGGGGCCTTAGGGACAAGAGGGCTCTTGTGGTGGGGACAAGGTGTTTTTGGAGGGAAAGGGGACCAGCGGGTGTGGGCGTGAAGGGAAGTAGATAAAGTGTCAAGCAGGGTGGTCAGGGGATAGTGATCAGCACTGGGTCATGGAATTACAATTCCTCAGGACCAGGGACTGGATGGGTAGGCATGATAGCCAAGATGGCCCAGGCAGGAGGGCAGGAGGCTGAAGAAGGGTTACGTGTGGCGACTGACAGACAAGACACCCTGAGCCTGGATCTGTAGGTGGTCTTTGGGGTGTGTGTGTGTGTGTGTGTGTGTGTGTGTGTGTGTGTACAGGGTTCCACTGTATATTGTAGCCTTGGTTGGCCTTGAACTCACTATGTAGACCAGGCTAGCTTTTAATCCACCTGCTTCTGTATATCGAGAACCTATCCGTAGTCTGCATGGTTAAGATATCTTTATTCAGATAAACACCAGCCAAACTCAAGCCAGAGCATGCCAGGAGCAGCAAGGCAGGGAGGCCAGAGAGAAGGGGCCTCCCATGTGCCTCCCATCCCTTAAAAACCTATCCCACGTCATCCTGACCTCACCTTGACCACGCCCTGACAGGCCTGGTCAGGCACACCTGTAGCCAGCCCTTAGGAGGCATGGTTATGGTGTCTTCCTACACTTCTGCCTCTGGAGTGCTGGATTAAAGGCAGGGGCTACCTTAAATGTTGAGCTCTTGACCTGGTCATCACGGGCAGAACCCGAGAGCCTCTGAGTTTGTTTCCATCTGCCTGCCTTAACACTGGAGCGGCCATCCTTCTCCTTGCCCCCCCCATGAAAAGAAGCAGTGTTAGGGGGGCTC